TATATATATATATATAGTGCGGTGCGGTTTGAACCTCAGTTTTATAACCATAAACCGTAAACCACACCATGTATTGAGGCTTAACAAAACTACAAACCACAAACCGTATTGTAACTTTTGAAAACCGCATTATGCTGTATGGTGCGGTGCGGTGTGGACGGTTTATGCGGTTTGATGCACATCCCTAGTAACAATAATAGATAAACCAATGAGAAAAAAAACTATACACGATGTTAAATTAGATAAACGAAAAAAGAAACATATAATTTCAACATAATAATTACTAATGAGTTGGATTACTTGGACTAAATTTTAGGTATTGTAAAACTATAAATATATGTTTTGAATTATTTTTATACTTCTTTCGTCCCATATTTATTGTCTTCTCTTGAATTTTGAAGTTTTTATTTTTCAACTTTGACTATAAATATTTTTATTTGTGTTATATATTATTTGATGGAACTTATAACAATGAAAAGACATTTAAAACACATTTCTTTCATATATTTTGTATCAATTATTATATATCAAAAACAAAAATATTTAAGGTCAAAGTTGAAAAATAAAAAACTTCAAAAGTAAAAAAAATAGACAATAAATATAAGACAGATGAAGTATATTGATATTTATCGAGGTTCGGGATTAAGGTTATCTATATCCGCATCCACATCCCCACTATTTTAAGATGGTTTAGTTGCAAATTTACAATTCAATCTAGACCAAATAAACAGCAAACTAAATTTTTAGGGGCCATCCAAATAAAAAATAAAAGACATAGACAAAACCAATAATTACTCAAAACCACATGATGATTTATGTAATTTACTTATAATAAATAACAAAGACGGTAATAACTTAATAATATATTATTTTGATTTAAATTATTCATTTTATTATGAGACAGTAACGAACAGAGTACTTATTTTTGGAAACATAACATATATGGATCTGTTGCATCGATTAGATTGCTTGTGATTTTCATCTTGATGGACAGTGGAGGGTTTATCCAAGCAATGTAGCTAAATTGTACAAATCCAACATTTGGTATTTGTATAAGTTGTTGTGTAGCGGAGGGTATATCTAAGCAAAGCGGTCACAATCTTTTTCTTTGTACCAATTGTTGGGTAGTGGAGGGTCTATCCAAGCAAAGTAGTCATAATCTTTTTCTTCATCATGCAACTCATAACTCGAAGTGAAAATTTGTTCACCCAACAAATCCATAAAGTTTTTACCTTGTGATTAGGGCATCCAACAAATCTGTGACCTGAGTTTTTTGTAGTCCATGAAGTCCACCTTCCGCATTCATCTTTAAAGTCACATCTAGTCATCACAACTTGCCTTGCCATTCGATTAACACTTTCAGCTAAAAAAGGATGAATCCATTCACCCTTTCCCTTGTTTGTATAATGACTATAAAGAGTATTATTAAGATTATGTATATCGTGTGTATTATTACAAAACACTGTGTGGCCTTTTATAGACAGATTTACAACAAAGTAAGAGAGAGATTACAGGAGGTAAAATGATAAACATATTATGTAATACAAATCTTGATTCACTTTCCTTTTTATGGTGATTGTGTGGACCAATGGTAGTGGACTAGTGGTGTCCCTTATATGCCCCCACAAGATGGAGGATCCATTGGATATTCCAATCTTGGAGCGATTACGAAGAAATGGAGATTTTGCCAAAGGCTTGGTGAGCATATCCACAAGTTGGTCTTGAAAGTGGACATGGAAGACACGAAGAAGCCCAACTGAAACTTGTTCTCTAATAAAATTATAGTCAAGAGCAATGTGCTTCATGCAAGAGTGGTATATTGGATTGACACAAAGATATGTAACACTTGTGTTATCGCAGAACAAAGTCGGAGGTTGTGCAATAGAGACGCCGAGTTCCTTAAGTAAGCTCTTAATCCAAATAAGCTCAACAGAGGCATTAGCTAAGGCTTTGTATTCAGCTTCAATATATGAGGGATATATCGAATTTTGACGAGTGGATTTCCATGGTACAATGGTGGTGCCAAGGTAAAGTATGTAGGATGTAGTTGCCCGATCGACATCATTGACCCCACCCCAATCAGAATCAGAAAAGGCTAAAAGAGTGAGAGATGAGTTGCGTTTGAGAAAGAGATCATGGTGAATGGTTCCTTTAAGTAGCGAAGTACCCGCTTCAAGGCTTGCCAGTGAGTTTGTTTAGGAGCATGCATGAATTGAGAGAGCTTGTTGATGACATATGATAAATCAGGACGGATGAAAGCAAGGTATTGGAGAGAGCCAACTTTCTGCAATCTTTAGTGTTATGACCTAGAATATTGCAAAATTGACAAAACAAAGACTAACGATTATCATGAGGGTTAGTATTAAACGAGGGCCAATTGTTTGGGTTTCTGTTGTTGCGTGGACCAGATTTGGTGGGTCCGTGATTGTTTCTTGAATCAGAACTTGTGCGTCCATAGACGCGAGATCCGGATTTCTGGGTGTAGTTGACAGTGGCGATGGAGGGCATGGAAGGACTTTCATGGAGGGATCGTTCATAATTGATCAATTTGGCAAAGAGATCAAAGAAGGTAAGTGAGGTATCTCTGAATTTTTGGGCAACAATGATGTGCTTATAATCTTCCCCTAACTGGGTTAGGATGTGAACAATTATATCTTCTTCTGTAATCGGAGCCTGTGTTAGGGCTAATTCATCAGCAATTGCTTTCATTTCATAGAGAAATTCAGCCATCGATTTAGAGCCTTTGGGGTTTTATGCAAGTTTTGATTTGAGAGATATGATGCGAGATCTGGAGACATTAGCATAACTATCCGTAAGACATTGGAAGGCTTCATATGCGGTCTCTGTGGATAAGATTATAGGTTGGATGGTGTCCGAACATCTACATAGAAGAGCACCAAGAAGAATTTGGTATTTGCGTTACCATATCTGGTAGAGGGGATTAGGCTTGCTGTCGATGGTTTTGGGTGGTATTATGGTTGACTCTTTGACATGTTTGTCAAGATCAAGACCACTAAGTGTAGAAAGAACTTGTTTCCTCCATACATGGAAGTTGGTTGCTGTAAGTTTGATGGGAAAATGAGTGTGTGTGTGTGTGTGTGTGGTGATTTCAACAATGGTAGTCATGCTTGGGTTTGAAGGTGACTGCTGGTTTTTGGATCGAAAAGGCTCAAAGGAGCAATTGAAGCTCTGATACCATATAATGACTACAAAGAGTATTATTGAGATTATGTATATCGTGTATATTACAAAACACTGCGTGGCCTTTTATAGGCAGATTCATAACAAGGTAAGAGAGATATTACAGGAGCTAAAGCGGTAAACATATTATGTAATACAAATCTTGATACACTTTCCTTCTTACGGTGATTGTGTGGGCCTGATGGTAGTGGTGTCCCTTATAGTTTGATCTGCTTATGATGAATTATGTTAGAATGTACCCCCAACATCCATCCAAACATCTTATTAAATGACAATGACTTCACGTAAACCAAAGTAATCAGTTACGTAAGTGGAAACCGGGTATTGGAGAGTTTGGAGACAATATGCAAACAAAAGCCAACTTAGTTGATAAAAAAATTAAGGATGACTTTTCCGAACAAAATTTTAGGGATTCTTTTTGGAGATCTTTTATTTATACAATGATTTTATTTAATAAAAACAATTATAATATAGTTTTTCCAACTAAGATACTCATATACATAATTTTTAAAAGAAATATTTGTACTATTACAAGCGACACCACATTATGGTAGAAATTATGAAATAGAAACTAGGAATGGTGCATGACGTGGTGGAGATGGAAGTGGATCCTAATGGTACAAATATTTCTTTTAAAGCAGCTACTTGTGTATAAGAGTATCTTAATCGGAGAAAATATGTGATAATTGATTACTTGTGTATAAGAGTATCTTAATCGGAGAAAATATATTGATAATTGAATCAATTATCAATATATTTTCTCCGATTAAGATACTCTTATATACAACTAGATGGTTTAAAAGAAATATTTGTAGATAGAAATTATGAAATAGAGGGGGTGTTTGGGATTGCTTTTCAAAACAGTTTATTAACTTATTTGATTTTTGAAAAGCTAATATGTCAAAAAAAAATGTTTGACAAACTTAAACTTTTTAATAAGCATGTAGAACTTGGTTTTTTAAAGCTGTTTTTGATTTTTTAACCAAAATAACTTTAAAATTCACTTTTTAATCTAGACATTTTTTAACTTATTGATTTATTTGTTTTTTCACCATAAAAGTTAATCTAAACATTTTTAAAAAACTCATTTTACCCTTGCTATAAGCCAATAAACACTTTTATCCAAAAACATTTTTAGAATTCAAAAGCATCTCCAAACACCCCAGAAACTAAGAAGAAACTAGGAAGGGTGCATGACATGATGGAGCTGGAAGTGGATCCTGTCTTGTTTAAAGAACACTATTTGATTAACATTAAATTTGTAACTTGGGCTGCAGATATTGTACATTACGGTTTCCACGCCCTTTCCAACCCCTTTCCAACCCCTTCTTCGCTAGAATTCCATATTCTCTGTCGCTTTCTGCCTTTACACACCCTTTCGGTTTCTATTCTCCGTGAACCCACTATTCAACTTTCGAATCATTACCGAAAAACCCTCAGAATTTCCAGGCAAGTTTCATGTACTCATCGATTCATCATCTTGTCTCGCTTTTGTCAATTAAAATCATGCTTTTGTTTATATATGAGTGATATCTTCTAATCGTTTTGAATTTGCAGATTGACTGTCGGTCGATTACGGTTTGTTTTTGAAAATTCGTACGTTTTCCCCTGAATTCTAATTTAATTATATGATGTGTTTTGAGTATTTGTTGTGGACTGTTCTTCGTTTCTATTTATTTATCTGTGTTTGGTAGTTTGTGAATTGACGTTATGTTTTGGGATTTCTTCTGTGCATCTTCTGTCGGTTGTGAGTTTCATTATAGAGTATACGTCAACATCGAATTCAAACAGTTTATCATGTAATCCTGTAAGTAAGAAACATCAAAACAGATTATGTTTTTTGGTAAATTAAATTACAGAACACATACCAACATGTTTGATGTTTCCCTTTCAATCAATTGTTAACCCCCAAAACAAAATTTTCGTCTAGTCTAGAGAGTTAGTTGGTTCGAATTCTTAACCATCAAGCATGCAAATGGCACTTTACTATCTTAAAAAGGTTTTACCGAATGAATCAGTAAAACTCAAAAGGATACAAAAGCAACTTCATATTCCCCTCTTTTCATTTGTACTTTATAAGAAGCATCTATAGATGAATATTTTCAGTAGCTTGATTTGAAAGCAGAATTCCTTAACCCGTGGAGACATTTTAATGGTGCCTACTTAAAAAAAAAAAGTTAATTGAATTAAGTTTTTTGTTGATTAATCTTCAGATTTCAACTTTTAAGGCGATTTCGTGTTGATCTGGAGGCCCCCGATGCAGCTGTATCATCACCCGTATTCAATCGAGAGCCAGAAAGTCAGGCTGGCTTTAGAAGAACGTAATATCGATTACACTTCATACCATATCAATCCCGTTACAGGCAAGAACATGGATCCTTCGTTTTTCAGGATGAATCCAACCGCTAAACTTCCGGTTTTCCAAAATGGTTCCCATGTTATCTTCAACACGATAGAGATTATTCAGTAAGTTTTAAAGCCATTTCATAATGACAGAATTCAAAATTTTCAGAATCCAAAATGATTTTATTCAGACCTTAAAAAAAAGCCCTTTCTTTAACACGAAAACTTTACAGGTACATAGAGCGGATTGCCCTTGTTTCTTCAGGAAGCGGAATCATAACACAAAGCAGCAAAAAAGTGATCGAATGGATGTACAAAATCCAAGAATGGAACCCAAAGTTCTTCACCTTTTCCCACATCCCCGAAAAATACTACATGTCCGTATCAAAGTTCATACGCCGCGTAATAATCGCCCGAATGTCCGAATCCCCCGACCTCGCAACCGCTTACCACACCAAACTAAAACAAGCCTACGAAACCGAAGAAAAACTACGGGACCCACAAGTCCTTCAAACCTCCACTCAGCATCTAATTCGCCTACTTGATGACGTGGAAGCCCAACTGGAACAAACTTTGTACTTAGCAGGGGACGAGTTCACATTAGCCGATGTCATGTTGGTTCCTGTTTTGGCCCGGTTAGGGCTCTTGGGCTTGGAAAATGATTATATAAATTGTAGGCCGAAGTTAGCAGAGTATTGGAGATTGGTTCAAGAGAGGCCGAGTTATAAGAAGGTGATTGGGAAGCATTTTCAAGGGTGGAAGAGACAGAAAACGTTGTTCAAGACATGGTGCATTATTCGTATGAGATGTTTGCTAAAACGGTATTGAATCATCTAGTGTTTTTTCGTTAGTTTCTTTGAAATGTCAGTTAATAGTGTGTTTGGGTTTTTAACTTAAGTGTGTAGTAGTTTGCTCTTTGATGTATGTAATTTACTGAAAAGAAAATTGTAAATGTGCAGTACAATGCAGGGTTTGTGTATGCATAGTACTGAAAGGTCTTTTGTATTGTTTTTGGCATACATTGGGCTAAGAGTATCATGTCAATAGGATAAAATGGTAAAATTTTATGCCAACTTGTGGAACATGATAGGGCAAGGAATTACTCTCGATCTCTTGTATGTTACAAAAGATGTAAATGTCGTCATCCTTAATTATTGTAAAAATAAAAAGTTTGCTGTTTACCTTGTAGCCAAAGTGATATCGATTTTTACCTTTTTCTTTTATGAAACAATGTTTGTTTATGGTGATTGTGATGTAAGTTTACAATGAATCTAAGTCTTTACTACTAGCCAGTGAGGTGTTCAAACCAGAGGTCCACGAATCAAACCGGTTTTTATTTTAACCGATGAATAAAAGAACCGGATACGGTGAAGACTGGGAGGTTAAATTTTTGTTTATTTACTAAATCGGATGGATTTGATTGATTGTGAAAAAATGATTTAAGTTTTAAAAATAAGGGTTGACCTTATAAATGTTAGAAAGATATGGAAAGAAATAGCCAATTGCTAGAGGGCACTATGGTAAATGTTTGAAAAAATATATATATTTTTTTCTAGATATTTAGTTTTATAAAAATCCAAAAAAAAAAAAAAACTAATTTCCAAAAATTATAAGAATTTAAATAATACTTCAACTCATTATACTAATGACTTTAAAAAAAATTAAAATAACTTTTTGAAATGTTTATTTATATTAGTTTTTATAAAACTTTTAACAATTTATAGGATACCTACACGCTCCACCCCACACCACACGCATACTTCCCACCCTACCACACACACCAATGCCCTACTCTCACACCCCCACCCATCCACACCAATGCCAAGCCAATAAGCCCATGCCAACCTCAATGCCTACAATACCCACACTCTACCCAACCATCTACCTCCATACCTATACCCATACCCCCACACATGTCTGTCTCACCCCCAACTCATCCTACCCCACCACTCACCCCGTCTCACTCCCACTTTATCCTACCCTCATTCCCACCCCTATCTACCCCACCCTCACACCTAAACCCCTACACACACTCACCCTACCTACCACACTTACACTCATACTTACACTTACACACCTCACACCACATACACATGGCTACACCTACACCCACATCCACAATGACATTGACACCGCCAACCGCCAACGACATTCACACATATATACACATACACCGATACACATAGGCACACCCACACCCACCCAAACCCATACCCACCCGAACAAACATATATTGGTTTGAGTGGATAAGAGTTTAATTAATGAAAGTTTTATCGTTTTTATTAAAAAATAGTTATAAGTTACAAAAAAAACAATAAAATGGTATTTTGGTCATCTTACACATTACTTTGCAATTCGTTTTACAAAATCTACAAATGCAAACTGTTTTATTTTCAACCAAACATACTCAAAGAATGGATAGACACGCCTCCAACAAACCAAACCTTCCTCAAAGTAATAAATTGGTTGTTTATATTTATATTTTGATCTCTGCGTTATAGATGTCTAGTACAAAATTGCGAAAATAAACTAAAACAGATCACAAGAAAAGTTCGGTGAGCCACAATGCTTTTGGCGGAAGACATTTGCATTAACACATTTAATTGGATCAAAAATAGATCAAAGTTAGTTTATCTAGTTAATTTGGTGTATGTCTCCTATTACAAATGTTTTGTTGTAGTTGACTTTTTTTTTTTTTTTTGGCTCAAGCTCCTTGCTTGAATCCGTTCTCTTTTGTGCAATGTTTTAAAAACCAGTTTTTTAGTTGAACCGGTATGGTGATCGGTTTCCGGTTCAATCGGTTCGACCGCTGAGTAAACTGGTTTCTATAATTTTCATATTTTTTCGGATTTTCCTACACATACATACATACACAAATCAAAAACTTGATGTCTACAAGTTCAAACATTAAAATACACATGAAAACAACTTGTAGATCAATTTAAATACATTAAAATAACACATAATCATAGGTTTTACATCAATACACGTGCATTAAAAAGAAAATAAAGTCCTAGATGAATATAAAAAATTAAAAAAAGTTCATAACATTTATCATGCACTTTTATTCAAATCTTAACAGTTGTGAAAACACCACCAAAGTTTATTATGCAAAAGGTTTCAATTCCATGTGTTTTTATTCAATTTAACCGGTTCAACCGGATTTTTGTAAAAATCGGTTAGTTCAATCCGATTCAGTAATAAACATAAACCGGTGATAGTTGAACCGCTCCTTTCCTGATTCCCGGCCCAACCAGCCGGTTCAAACCGGTTTTTAAAACATTGCTTTTGTGCTTAATGTTAATCGCTTGCCGTTCAACAAAAAAAAAACAAAACAAACAGAAGAGCAGTTATTTTTTCCAATTTGATGAACCAAGACTAAATAAATAGGGTCCCTTTAGACTAAACCAGAAAAATTTACTGGTTTTCCGTTCATTTTTTTACTTTGGTTATTTTAAGACAATAGAAGCGGTGCCGAGTTCACCAGCTAAGATTTACCATGCCAAGGAAGAAGAAAGGGAGTGGTGCACAACGGCAATGGGAGAAGAAAATAAAAACACCGATTAACAATACCCAAGCAATGGAGGTCAACCAATGGTACACATTGAAATGAAATAATTAAGATGAGATACCATATTAATCAACAAACCAACATAAATTCTTTAGTCTTCACCTAAGTTTTAGCCAAAAGAAAAAAAAATGGAAATGATGAACGCTTATTTGGAGGTGTATAAACAGAGCCTAAACGTCATTCCCAAAGGCAACAGCTACACCTTAAAAAAAACATCAACCACAATTAGTAAAGACATTTCCATGGTCACACCCATACACTATTTAAACAAAATTAAAATTTTTTTTTTTTTTTTGAGATAATAGTTGTGCCTTAGAGAAATTGAAGAATAAATACAAACAATAAATTTATAATAAAAAGTTGAGGCGTAGTGTGGAAAACATCTTTCGCTGACTTTGTCTATTAAATCATTCTTTCTGCATGGAGAAAAAAAAATAAACCTATTACCTATATAGAAATATATATAGATTACAATTCCATTAAACTCACCTTTATGTCAAAGAGATTTTCCAAACAGTCATAAAAGTAGCAACTCCAAGTCCTCAATGTCATTCAAATCATCATCATCAGCATAGACTCCAAAAGCATGATGAACTGTGAAATCATCGGAATCATCATAGACTTCGCAATGATAACAGACTTCAGAATCATCATAATCAGAGTCATCATAGTCAGAGCCTCTAGGCTCAGTACTAAAGTTCACACCATTTTTATAAATATAAGGACATCCTTCAACACTATCATTGGGCAATTTCAAACATTTAATCTTTTCTGATAATTTTTTCCCAAATTCTCCCTCAAGATTAACGTACAAGCATTGACGCAAGTCAAGTGATTCAAGATGACAACAACCATCCAAAATCACTTTCAACTCATAATTCGAGATGTTCATTCCAATAAGTTCAAGGTGCCTTAACTCATGTAAGTTCTCTCCAATATATATGGGTATCTCATTGAGAATGTTTAACCCCTCATCACCATCATACCCATACCAATACCTATCTGCTTCTTGATTTATTTTCAGTGTTCTTAGCATAGGGCAACAACGCCCTGCAGTTGCAATAGATTCTTCTGAGATATTAGTTGCGTGGAGACTGAGTTCCTCTAATAATGGAAACTTCTTCAAAGCTTCGTTAAAGCTTCCATAAATTTCACCATAGCAACATGCAATTTCAAGACGTTTAAGCCGACTTGATCTGTTAAACAAAGAAAAAAAAACAATTAAAAAGCAAGATCATGTAGTGAGTGATTCATATTGGGCTGATACAAATTACACTAAGCACACATACCTATCAGCAACATACTCAAGAAGCTCATCATCTGTAAAATTCACCATGGTGATATCAACCAATTGGCCCTGGCTTCGATCCACAGCATTCTTACACATTTCCCGTAGGCGAGGTCTTGCATTTGGATCCGTGTAAATATTTTCCATATAAATGACCCTCCACATGGCAGGGTCCTTGCAGATATTACGCCAAGTAGTGCAAACTTTCTGGGCATTCTCAAGAATGTCATGAACACCAACTCTGTATAGAATATTAGCCATTACATCAGATGGGATCTCCAGCCAATTCCTTTTCTGTTCCTTCACACGCCATTGTTGCTTTGGTTTTGGAACGAACTTGAAATTCTTGGGTTTTCCTCGATTTGATTTTGATTTTGATGTAGATGGCATCGTAACTTTAACATGTATAAAGCAAAGTTAAATTATACAAAGGCATTTGCATATGCTTTTATATGAAAATTGCATTAAATTTATCAACGTATTTTCAAAGAATAACATATAATGTAACGGATCGATCAAATGAATATATATGCTTTTTAATACATGAAGAACAGACTCCCTACTGCATCCCGCAGGCAACAATGTCGCAATTCAATTTGCAAAGATATATTGCAGAGCATTGTGCACATTAGTTATGAGCAGTTGCAAAGTGGATTTTTAATGTAAATTAACAAACAATGGATACAACCAATATGAAATCAAGTGTGATTATACGAAGATTCTATAAACATAACGAAAAATCTAAAAACCCTAGAACTACTGAACTTTAAAAAAAAAAAAACGAAATCATAGATTAAAATTTCAAAGTAATATAAGAAAGGTTAAGGAAAAGATAAACGCACATCAAGTGAAGGTGAAGAAGAGAATCGATCGCTGTTTTCTGATAACTGTTGCGGCTTCCTATAAAACGGTCACTCCGTTCGGTGGCGAAGAAATTGTTGGAACGAGTGTTTTTTGTTGATGGAAGTTGTAACAGTTTATCGGTTTGAATTGACGTTTATTTCTAGTTTTCTACTCATAGACAAAGATGGCCAAGGCCCGGCCTGGCCCATGCTTCAAAGCCCAAAAAGTACACATTCCTCAAGAGGAGTTTTTATGGATGATAATGTTCTTTCCAGTATTTTTTTTCATTTTTCTTTATTTTTCAGTTTTTTTTTTCTAATTTTAAATATCTTATTTTTCTCTAATTTCTCTTTTATTCCATTTTTTTACCGTTTTTTTATATATATTTTTAAATGATAGCTTTTATTTTAGTTTTTTTTAATCTTTTTTTACTGTTTTATCCTTTTTTTTTCTATTTTTTTTTAAATATCGTTTTTCTTATACTATCTTTTGACCATCAAATTTTAGCCATCACAAATTAAAACTACAATATATTTTAAGTTGCAAAAACTCCAACATTCACATATAATGTTTTTAAGGTAATAAAATAAAATAAAATAAAAAACTCAACATTGTTTGTTACAAAAAAAAAAAAAAAAAAACACCACAAAAAAACTCCAAAATTGTTTATTACAAAAATAAAAACATCACAATTAGCTTGAACTTTAACCGGTAACAAATCATTACCTGTAAAAAAAGAAAAAAAATAAGAGAATAATCACAACAAATACCATAAAAATATATTTTTTCTAAACTACCTTGGCATAGATGGACATCGTTTTCGATTATGCATCGGTTGCCTACAAATTCCACAAAGATTGGTATTTCTTCCTTCTTTAATATCCATACCATTTTTTAGTCTTGTTGAACGATGACGACATTTTTTATTTTGTAATAGTTCTAAACTTTGAATTAATTCATTAAATGGTGATTGTGGCTAATACACTTCATGAGGAAGCGGGGAGAACTCAGATGCCCAAGTAGCACAATAGTATTCAATCGAGTAACATTTATCAACATATTGCTAACTATTCAAAGAGAGTCTGACACATGTACTCAAGACATGAGAACAATGATATTTAAATGCCTTCCATTTACCACATGTGCAAGTTTTTTGTTCCAAATTAACTACTTGCACATTTCGACCTCTTTGAGTTATCAACTCAGATATACCTTTTTCTTGGTTAAAAGATCTTAAGGAATGTGCACTTGCTTTTGCCATCAAAGCTACTTGTTTTACAACAACATATGGAGTATATGCATCTCCATTAGCTTGAGAACTAGATCCTAAAGGACATCTCACCTCAAAATAATGCACCATACTATAGAATGTAAGTTTCACACAAGCTCTGACTGGTAAAAAAACGAGCACCTTTAAGTACACTGTTGAAAATCTCTGACAAATTTGTTGTGAGCAACCCATATCTCCTTCCACCATCATGTGCAAGTGTCCATCTATTAAGTGGATGACTCTCCAACCATTGTCGAGCACGTGGATTTAATTTCCCAATTTCTTCCATGATGGAGTTGAACTTTCGAATTTGATTCTGACTCCCGACACGATAAGCTAAAGCTTCCATTTCTGAATTACGAAACTTGTCATAAAAGTTGTTGATGAAATGTCGTAAACAATACCTTTAAAATAAAATAAAAATAGTGTAAGTTAATGAAACAAATTATTGAAATGTCATAAAAGAATAGTTAAGAAATATAACAATACCTATGAAAGCCACGTGGCTCTAACCATGGAGATCCATGCTCATTGATAGCCTTAAGAATTCCGCCATGACGATCAAATATTAGACATATGCCTTCACGGTCTTTCACCACATGATTCTTGACATGAGAAAGAAACCAATCCCAAGTATCATAAGATTCATGTTCTATAATAGCAAATGCAAGTGGAAAAAATTAATTATTACCATCAACTCCCATTGCAATCATCATCTTACCCTTGTATTTACCATAAAAGTGTGTGCCATCAATGCTAATCATCGGTCGAAAATAGTGAAACCCTTTGATAGAGGGAGAAAAAAAACCCAAAAAACACGCCTAAATTCAACTTCATCCACATCGGTCGATCTTGAAACACACAATTCAACTATAGTTCCTGGATTGAACTTTTGAAGTGCGCCTAGATATTTTGGTAAAGCGACATAAGACTCTTCTCAGTTTCCAAACACATGTTCAATTGCTTTTTTCTTTCCAACCCAAAGCTTTTTATATGAAGGAGTATAGCCCAATGTTTCAACTATTTCAACTCTCAAAGCCGGAATACTGATAGAAGGTTGCTCTTTTATAAGGTGTCTAGTTTCCATAGCAATCAAGCTTGCATCTAGGTTCGGATGGTCTTGAGAAAGCTTATAGTGTAAACAAGTGTGTGGACCGGTATACGTTGTGATTTCAAAATAACCACTACGTTTACGTTTACTTGCATGAAGTTTCCATTTGCAACCAGATTGTAAGTACAACTTGTATCTTAGTGTCCAAATAGTTGGGTGTGACTCAATGACCTCAAATTGTCTATGTGTCCCGATGATATGGATCTTGATTGCTCTAACAAGTTCCTCTTTATTCTTGAAAGAATCTTTTCCCAACTCTCGCGTAAAATCATTCTTACTCATTGATTGTGTCACAATCCAATTGTCATCACTAGTCAAATTTGTTCCTTCCATATCAGTACAAGTTGAAGGTACTTCAACATTATTGTCAAAAGATGCTTCTTCATCATCATTATCTCCAATTCCATCTTCCAATATTTCATTTAACTCAACTTCATTGTCTATATTTATCAAATCAGTCACAACAACAGCTTGAGAGATTATAGAAAAATTCTCATTGTCAATCATGTCTATTATAGAATTCATCTACAAAACAAACAAAAACAAGCACAAATTGATCAAAAAATGATCATACGAATTTATGCTAACAAGAAAAAAGAAACATAATGACATGTTTGCAATCAATTCCATCTACAAAAATATTAAAAAAAAACAAGTTGTGATAAACCCATCTACAAAAAAAATAATAAACAAAAACGAAAATTGATCAACAATTCGTCCTAACGAGAAACAGAATAGAGAAGAAAAAGTAAACAGAAAACTGAAGAATCGGAATCGAGAAACAACAATTCGATAATAGAGAAGCAAAAAAATTAAACAGAAAACGAGCGGGAAGAATCAAAATCGATAACAGCTTTGCATACCTTGAATGGAGCGAAGGGTGGAGGATGTTGCAGGTGGTCGACGACGGATGGAGGAGGCCGCAGGTGGCCGGCGATGGTGGACGTGCGACAACGACTGAACGATTGGTGGAGCCCTAGTTTGCGTTTACGATTTTTCTTTTCTTTTCTGTTCGAGCCTCGTTCCAACCTTCCAGGTAACCAAAACAAACGTGTTTTTTTAAACAATAATATTAGTTTTCAAATTAAAGTAATACCATTTTGGAAAATATTTTTGAAAGAACACTAAAATGGTAAATATTTTTTCCAATCACTCTATTATGGTTAAAAACTCTCCTCAAGAGTAAAGGTGTCCATTAGGCTATACAGTGTGGACCGGTAATTACCGATGGTGTGCGTATGTGGAAAGGATTACTGGCGGTGAACACCGCATCGCACCCTCATTTCTACTGGTGGTAAATTACTGCTGGTGGGTTTCCACCACCGACAAATGTGATCGTTGGAGCTTTTATGACCGTTTTGTTTGTGATCGTTGACTGTTGACTGCCAATTTATAGATTTTTTTCCTTACCACTATCGATCATTTTTAGAACACATCTTCTTTGAATGTAGCGTGACACTTATAGTGGACTATTAGCAAAAAGAATTGTCCATAAATTTATTTTGATGCTACATATCGACGAATTTTCCACCGATCTCCCACAAATAGTAAAAGCCTAATTTTCAACACATGTGTGATGGATTAGCAACATAAAGTAGTTAGAGGATTTCTATCATATGAGTGGCAAATTTGAATAGATAAATTAAATATCCTCCTACTTTTTGTTCTTACATATCATCTTACCCAATTAAATGGTGACATGTTTAAAATTTAATGCTCATTTAATGAAATTTAATGATATTTTAGGATACTAATATGACACATGTCATCATTTAAATGAGTAGGAGGATTGGTAGGAAGAAAAGATAGGAGGATATTTAATTTCTCATTTGAATAAGATTAAATTACAGTTTTGGTCTCTATGGTTTGGTCATATTCGCACTTTCTGTCTAAATTTCAAAAATTTGATAAGATGCATCCCTATGATTTAAAAAAATTGCATTGCACATATTCACTCCCTTTAAAAAGCCCATTTTACTCTTACTTTTATATTTTTGTTTTTCTTATATATATAAAGTAGGTTCATGCAAAAACATAAATACTTTGCGAAAATGCAAAAACAGATTTTATCTTATAAAATTTAAACACATGTATTTTAGAAATTAAATTTATTAACAATAAATTAAAGATAATAAGTTTACATGAGAGGGTGTTATGATATTATAGATGTAAATGTGGTTTTTAAAAACCGTTTCTTTTTTTTCCACGTCCTTAACCACTTTAAAATTCAAGTTTTCATAATAAAAAAAGTGAAAAACATGTTTTGCTAATATGAAACAATTTCTCATTTATCATCGATTATCATCATGTAGTTCAAAATTTGGATGAATTCTTGTCCAAAATATAAGGTTAAGGTGACACAATCTCATAGGTTTTCCTTGTTTTCGCGTTTTCGCAAATTATTTGCATTTTCGCATTAGCCCTCCTATATA